AATTGTCATACAGCAAGGAGGTGACGGCCAGCTGAAGAGAGAAGGTGGCTTCATTAAGCTGTGTAACCCTTCTCTTCTCTCCGCTTACAAAAACAATTAATAAAAAAGAAAAAAAGGCAGTAAATAAAAAAATTTTCCTTCCAGCAATTTACAAAAATAAGATTAATACAAAACTAAATTCATATTTATAATGTATATATTCCATCTCTCTAATCTAGCGCTCTCTCTCTATATTTATATATCTCTATCCCTCTATTCATTCTATCCGTCTATCTCTTTCTTTCTAATCTATCCCCATCTATATCTCTCCCCAATCTATTTAATCGATCAATCTATCGTATCTACCCACCATATAACCCCCTCTCTCATATCCATTGTATCTATCTTTCTATAGTATTTATTTATCTATATACTGTATCCATCTATAGTATCCATCTCTCCATGTCTATATACGGCCTTTACACACACATGACCTTTAATGGCATCCCAGTCTTAGTCCGTAGGGCTCAGTATTGGGTTGGCTCCGCCCTTTGCCGCTATAACAGCTTCAACTCTTCTGGGGAGGCGTCCACAAGGTTTAGGAGTGTGTCTATGGGAATGTTGGACCATTTGTGAGGTCAGGTGCTGATGTTGGGGGAGGGGCTCGCAGTCTCTGCTCTAATTCATCCCAAAGATGTTCTATGGGGTTGAGGTCAGGACTCTGTGCGGCCAGTCACGTTCCTCCACTCCAAACTCCCCCATCCATGTCTTTATGGACCTTGCTTTGTGCACTGGTGTGCAGTCATGTTGGAACAGGAAGGGGTCATCCCCAAACTCCTCCCACAAAGTTTAGAACATGAAATTGTCCAAAATGTCTTGGTGTGCTGATGCCTTAAGAGTTCCCTTCACTGGAACTAAGGTGCCAAGCCCAACCCCTGAAAAACAACCCCACACCATAATCCCCACTCCACCAAACTTTACACTTGGCACAATGCAGTCAGGCAAGTACCGTTCTCCTGTCAACCGCCAAACCCAGACACGTCCATCAGATTGCCAGACAGAGAAGCGTGATTGGTCCCTCCAGAGAACACGTCTCCCCTTCTCTAGAGTCCAGTGGCGGCGCGCTTTACACCGCGGCATCCCACGCTTTGCATTGCACTTGGTGATGTGCGGCTTGGATGCAGCTGCTCGGCCATGGAAACCCGTTCCATGGAGCTCTCTACGCACTGTTGTTGTGCCAATCTGAAGGCCGCATGGAGTTTGGAGGTCTGTAGCTATTGACTCTGCAGACAGTTGGCGACTTCGGCGCACTGTGCGCTTCAGCATGCGCTGACCCCGCTCTGTCATGTGACGTGGCCTACCACTTCCTGGCTGAGTTGCTGTTGTTCCCAGTTGCTTCCACTTTGTTATAATCCCAGTAACAGGCGACCGCGGAATATTTAGTAGCCAGGAAATGTCACGGATGGAGTTATTGCACAGGTGACAACCTATCACGGTACCACGCTTGTAGTCACTGAGCTCCTGAGAGCGACCCGTTCTCTCACCAATGTTTGTAGAAGCGTCTGCATGCCGAGGTGCCTCATCCTATATACTGGGGGCCGTGGAGGTGATTGGAACAACTGAAGCCAATGATTTGGAGGGGTAGCGCAATACTTCTGGCAATATAGTGTATATCTATAGTATCTCTCTTTCCATATCTTCTCTCTCTCTTTATATATATATATAGTATTTAAAGTATCTCTCTCTTCCCATATACATATATCTAGTATTTGTAGTATCTCTCCATCTCTTTAGATCAATCTCTCTCTCCCCCAATCTATATCATCTTCCCATCTCTTGTATCTCTCGTTCTCTCCATATCTATGTATAGCATCTCTTTCTCTTCATATCCATCTATAGTATCTATCGCTCTTCCTCTCTTCATATCCATCTATAGTATCTCTCTTTATAGTATTTGTTGTATCTCTCTCCATATCTCTATAGTATTTTAGTATTTATTTCTCTATGTATCTCTCTCTCTCCATCAGTGTATTATCTGTGTATCTCTTAG